GGGGGTAGAAAACATATTCAAAGAAGCATAAAGGTACAGAAGAAAAAGTAGCATCGATGCAATAAATAAGTATTGGAAAAATAAAAAAAAAGAAATAAATAATAGATCCAAGCAATTGATTACAGAGATGAAAATGGCTTGTCCAACATATACTAAGATCATTAGTGGGTTATTATATACTCAGTTGCGTTGCCATTGCCTCTATGACTGTAGGACTTTCCAGTTTCTAAGGAAAAGCACAAAGTGGATTATGGAAAAAAAAAAAAAATTCTCGATAAAGAACGAACGTGAAACGCAGACTAGGAAAGAGGAAGTCGAGACGACAGGAAGTGACGTGCCGATTCAAATTCGCGGTGTCGCTGCGAGATCACGTAGGGTAAAGTTATATCTGCTTTGCTTTGGCTTCCCGGTCGTTGCTTATGTAGTCCATAGCTACCTATATACCGTATACTAGGTCCATATATATATATTAGTGTCATTTTTTCTCTGCCTTTCTTTTTCGCACGATGCCCCGCCCCGAAGAACCATTCAGTCATTCACAGCTATATATATATATATATATATATTTCCAAGTCCTCCTGACCTAAGCTAACATTTCGTGACAGGCAACATCCGGACAGGATGATCCTCCGTGCCACGTCCTCCGTCATCTCTCTCTCTCTCCCTCCCTCGCTGATCCTCTCGCCATCTTCCAATCGCTCATCCTCTAACACTTCACGAGCTACGGAGGCAATGACGCCTCCGCACCGAGTAACACTGTCATCCACGAAGGCTCGACTTCCACGAAGCTTATATACCTAAACCTAGAGAGAGAATTGACCTCCTCGAATGCCGTTCAGGACAGCTCGTGCTGACTTCCTTCCCGACTGAGCTCATCATCGGACCCGACACCGAGACCGAGGCGTGACACGAATCTTCCCCAGCGTCCCACCGTCTTCGACCTCCTGGACACCGGGGTAAATGCGGTCATTGAGCTATTCCATGCACTGAGACACACACAGAGTCATTCGTATGTCATGTGGAGGCAGGAGCAGCGGCACGACGACGTCGTGGACCTAGTCGAGAGGCTGACCCTGAACGAATCTTTCAACAGACACGGTGCACGATCGATCAAAGAATTCGACGGGATCATAGTAATTGATAATGAGCACAGTGGGCCCAGGAATGCTCTGACGGTGTCTACGATGAGGTTAGGATCATAGGATCTTCAGCCAGGATGTTAGGTATCAGGGGTACGCATACGGTGCCAGTACATATAGGAGCACATAGGTGGGCTAACTATATGGTCGGGTTGCTTTCTATGCGCGGGCGACGTAAGAATGCTCGCCTGGCTGTCGGCCGTCGCATAAAAGACCTGAATAAACTTCAACCCACCTAACGCACACGCAACCACATAGCTCTCTCGTGGCTCTAGGTGGGTTGCTCTCCGTCCGATAGGTAGGTGGTGGTTTCCTTGGTTGCTCGGTCACTTGCTCACTACCGGACCAGATGGTCCAGGCCGGACCGGAGGTAAGCCCTGCGCAAGAGCCCGGACCGACGATGACTGGGATGGATGGTCAGGTGAGACTCGGAGGTACGTAATGCCCGATATGCCAAAGATCAAGCAAGATCTAATTAAGCAAGAGAAGTTAGAGAGCTGTCCTGGCTCTTCTTGGAACGGATGAGATCCAGCGATGCTGGGGTTAGGTACAAGCAGACCATTAGTACGTTCACGAGATGGGATTTCAGGAGAGAGATGGGACCACTGGATGGGTCAGGTGGCGTGAGAAGGCACTGTCACGTGAGAAGGCGTTCATCAAAATGGATAATGAGAAGAATAAAGAGGTCAGGAACAACTAACGCCATAGATTTCATAAATGCGTCTCCTCCGGGTCCATCTGATTGCTCTTTCCTCTTTCGGAGTGCACGATCAGATCCTGCACTCTTGTATCTCTATTTGTCCCTCGCGCGAGGTTCCTTGCGAGGTCAACGCGGTCCCGTTCATCCAAATTTTCAAGGGTCACGACAGCAACCTTATTCGGAAGGCGGACTCGCGCCAGCCCTAGGAATGTCCGGTGGTTCTGCTGGCTGCCCACTAAGTGGATAATATCGGCCATTTATTTTTCTTTATCGGCCACTTTTCTACCTTTCCCAACTGCCGCGAACCTGCATTCCGTGCCAATGGGATATGAAAGGGAGGAATCGGATCGATTCCCAGGGATTCATGGAGAAAGGATGATCCTCGTCCAGTGACGTTCTGCAACAATCTCCAAATGCACGGCCAATCGTCCGCTGTGGCGACGAGAGCGAACAGCCAGGCTGAAGTCAAGAAGAGACTCAGCCCGCCGACACGTTGGTAGCACTGGGATTTAATCAGTAAAAGGTGAAACAAATTGCGAAATTCCCTGGTGCACTTAACGCGTGCTCAATGTGACCAGGAACGATAAATTATTCTGGACCGAGGAGAGGAGAGAGAAAGAAAGAAAAAAAAAAAGAAAGGCATAAGAGAGCAAGAGAGAGATAGAGGCGGCGCGGAGCAGGGGTTAGAGGTCTTGCCTTTGCCTCTCTGCTCTTGCGAAATTACCTCGCGTTTCATAAATGTCAGACGGACAATAATAGCCGTATTGCATAATGGCCGCCGCTAACCCGATCCGAGACCAAGTCTCTTTGGGCAGCCGATGGAAGAAGAGAAAGAGTAAAGGGCAAGGATGATTTGATCGAGCTCGCAAAATAATTAATTATAAGTCCCATCGATATCGTATTATTATTTCTTATCGTACTGTACCCTGTCAGACAGTCACTAGGTGGACAGGATATCCTCAACGGTCGACTAGGTAATTTAAGAGGAAAGGAAAAAAAAAAGAAATTCCTATCTCCAGCACCGAGAATAGAATCAGGTTGATCAGTGGTGGTAATGGCGACGAGAGGAATGACTTCAGGTCGTTCCCGAGAAGTACCAGGTAGTACAGGCACATAATACGCCCAGAACCGTCCCACGGGTTCCTGGCGACCGCCACCTACGAGAACAGGCAGACAGAAAAAAAAAGAGAGAGAGAGAGAGAGAGAGAGAGAGAGAGAGAGAGCAGCCTCGACTTCCTCGTCTACGCTGTACCAGGTTTCACGTACCACGTGCCCCATGGAAAATCCTGGGCAAATGAATTTTCAAAGGGCAAGGCACGGAGAGCGAAGGAGAATAAAGTATTTTCCATTCCCCTCGGCAACTTCACGGCGTTGAATAAATCGGAGCATCCCATTCCTCAAGCGAGCGAGAGCGTAGGACGTTGTAACGTCGTACGGCACGGTAGACGTGGAAAAGTAAACCCTGTGCACCGTTCTCCATGGAAATGGTCGGCGCGTAGGCGTAGAGCAATTTCAGCGTCGGATAGCTTTTTCAATGTAGATACATATAGTACCTGGTGCCTTCTCGTCTACCCCACTGTTTCCTGGCAATATCCTTTTACTTGGCTTCTCGAACGCTCCTATCGAGACCCAGCATACTCGAAACACATACACACCATCCGGTCCTATTAAGAGAAAGGGCCAAAGACAAGCTCAGCCAAATTGTACGACTTCATCGAGCTTCGATTTGCCTCGCGACGAAATTTACAAGTGAACGCTGATTCCACAAAACAGCTGAATCCTGGTGAAACGCAGAGGAGATACCCCAGGGCGCGGCTCTGAATACTTTTCTAATAAGAACGCCAAAGTATAACACGCACGGATTTAATTAGGATAATTACGCAAAAGCCGCACCCTGCCTCCGTGTCATTCGGCACTCTGGGTAATGGTAGCCATTGCGCAAAAGGTGGGGGGGCCGGATGAACAGAGTCAAAGGAAAAAAGTAAATGAAAAAAAAAAAAAAATCTCAAGTATAATACACAGACTAAAGAAGAAAGGCCACGCATAGGAAAATCTTATACTCACGTCCTTGCTGGGCACGCAGACTGGTGTTCCTTCCTTGACGATACCAGCCTCCACCATGACACCCATGACTATTGGATCCCTCGAGTTGAATATGTACTGGAAGAAAAAATTAAATCCGTCAAGCCTTATTCATAGTCACAGTATTAATATTACAGTAATAACCTATATCCTCTGACACACGTCGACGGGTGAAGCAATGCTTAAATCTTACCAACGAAAATAATAAAGATATCCCTAGAAAATTAGCATAACAATTGGAGGCCCCTGCGAGTCTCTGGTGAATTTGAAATTTTCAGACTTCCTCTGTGTGGTCAATTTACTTCCTGTAAATAGCGTTACGAATACGAGATGCCGTATTATCTTTTGGGTCTGATAAGAGAGTGGTCAGAGGACGCTGACGCATTGATAAGAAATAAAACACAAACACATATACATATATATGGAGGAGGAGGAGGAGGAGGAGGAAGAGGCGTTGGGCAGGTGAAGGCGATTAATAAAGCACGAAGTCTATCGCTTCCGGTTGATTCGTGGGGGTCGACACTCCCCACTCTAACAACCGCGCTTCCGGTCTGCTCTTCGCCTCTTCCCCGAGTGCACGTCCGGCGATAAACGCTGATTTCATACCGCATCGACCCACCGTCAGCTATACCGTAGAGTACGGTAAAGTGGACGGCGTCGCCTTCAACGTACGTCCGAGGCAACAGTAATTGTCCCTGGCAGCGCGATAAGTAGAAAACAGAAAATAATAAGAAATCTCTTACCTGGGGCAAAACACGAAGTTTGCAAGGGAAGACGGCGATATGTTTATGCTCGTCGCGTTTACGTTTCTTCAGTTCCTCCCGGTAGGCAGTGAACTTGTCGAATAGATGGTAAATGATGTCGGCCTGGAATATCTTGACGCCGAGGGAGTCGGCAAGTTCCTGGGCGTCACGTTCGATCTTCACGTCGAAAGCCAATATGGTGGCGTACCTGAAAACGATCTTCCGATAAGATACAGAGAAAAGAGTTTTAAAAAAAAGAGAGAAAGAGAGACAGCGAAAAACAAAGTACCCTATATATTCGGCACGCGAAAAAAAAAGACCCTATGTAAAAATTCAAAGCGAGCAAAAAGTGCGAGAAAACAATGGCAAACCATCCTCCGGGTGCGCGTGGAGAGAAAATTGTTTCGATCACCGGACACGGCGATTATCCTCGGTCGTACGGGGCCGTTCGGACCCCGTTCCGAGGAACAAGCTGGTGGAAGAAGGAAGGAAGGAAGCCAGGTGAAAATTGCAGGCGGAAACCGAAAGAGAGAAGAAACGTAAAACAGGATAGAAACAACGAAAACATAACCTCTAATGACAAGGAACACGCGTATACCAGGTGTCGCTTAATATTTCCCACAAATAATTTCCACCCGTCTAGCCCATAAAACGTGACACCCATAGATCCAGAGATTTATTCCAATCGTCCGATCGAACGATAATGCCATAACACGTTACTTTTAATCGCAATCGAACGGACCCCATACGAACCGTGTGAAATTGTCAATGGAACACGCGCGCCCCAGTGGCGACGTCCAGCGCAATTTTCTAATTAAAAAAAAAAAAGAAAAAAAACCCCAAGAGTCTAACAGCCAAAAGAGACAAAGGGTGGTTGGAAATCTCGGGCAGGGACCAAGGGAGGAATGGTAAGGCCTGAAAAAAAATTTCACTCATCCGTAAAGCAACATCCGTGCTCACTCCTCTCTTATGATCCGCAGCTCCTCGGGCCCCGTCCGAAAAAACACGGTAGACTACTACCGGGGACCCGTAAGTCCCCTGACCCACGACGGATTACGATACTTCGAACGTCCCTTTGCTGTCTGTCTCGCTTTCACGCTTTAACCCTCCACTACGCTACTCATCAATCCTACGTACGACTTATATAGGCAATCGCGGAGGTCTACTACAGGCCGTATCGTAAAACTGCCAGAACCCCGTCAGTTCTCAATCGCATTAATACCGTACGTAGTATACAGACTGAAACTAGCGGATAAAGTATCTCGAAGCGTCTGCCGCGCACTATAGACAGACTCTACTGTAGTACTCACTGGCTGTCGTGTTCCAGCATGATGGAGGCCTTCATAACGTCCTTCTTGACGACCGGACCGATTCGAATGCCGGCGTACTGAAAGCAAGACAAAGAAAGAGTATATTAATATCGGTGTATAAAAGAGAGAAGAAAAAAAAAGCCAATAACCTCGTTAACATCAAAACCATAAATAAGATACCGTTTAAAGATGGACAACAATCCCGTGGGAAAATCCCTGTTAGTCGTGCGCATACAATCCGTGGTGACGCGGGGGACTTACAGGTGTTCCCTGGGACTCGTAACGCGTCAGGGCGCAACAGACTCAGAGGCTGCCCCGGGTACGTGTTAAAGGGACAGTAGCAGCCTCAGCATTTGGTACCCGTTGACCGACGATCTCTCGGCCGGCTTACGTAACACGTGAAAGACCGTCCCGTCCATAATTCCCTAGGGGAGATTCACAAGCCCTAGGGACATTTCCCTCCTACAAAGGGAGCACCACGTCGATTCAGCTCGACGACATGGATTTTGCTTTGGACGATCGTAATCCAGCATCCAGGACATGGACCGGAACGAGTCGAGGATTTTGAAACAGGAAGTGCCGGTGATTTCGGGCAACGAATTATCAAAAAAAAAAAAAAAAAAGTAACGTAAAAGACCCTCAGACGAGGATGCTGCGACATGGTCCAGAGGCACGCGTATAGGTCAAAGATTGGGCGTCGCGACGGCCCCCTTACGCGCTCCGACGCTCCCCATCGAGAGTACACACCGAAGTTGCGCAACTTCCTGCTCGCTAATTCGGGCCGATCTTCCAATCCACGATCCGCGATGCGCAAAGCGGGCATACGGCGGTGGCCGCGCAGAGGAAGGAGATGTTGATCTGGGGAGAGGGACGGAGACGGCGAGGGAGATAAACGTAAACGGAGACAGACGGTACCGACGTACAGAACGGCTATACGAATTTACAACGCCAAGAGGATACGATGAAGGAGGAGGGGAGGTACCTCGTGGTATCCTACCGTTGGCCGTACATCACCGGTCTCTGTATATTTATACGTGGCTCGGCTGTTTTCCCGATCAGCCGCGGGACGGACGCGTTGCGTTAGAGACCGTGAGGAGACGAGAGGAAATCTAGCGGAACGAAATTACGAAGACGACGTGGTTCGTCAGGATTTCGCGTGAGACTAGCGAGAGATTGGAAAAAGGTGTCAATAGCGTATAAGTGGATAGAACGTACAGGTATATAGATGAAACATATATATATATATATATACACATCTGTATAACGAGAGGTACCCAGGTGGTACACCAGGATCTAAAGCAGGTATGAATCCCGCATGGATCTTCTACGTGGTAGCCGGCTGTATCTCGTGGAATAATCGGTCCGCCCAGGAATCCGTTTACTCCCTCAATCTGCGCCGCCTACGCCCGTACATCGCGATAAACGTGCTGTTTGATTTTCTTAAATACCCAAGCCGGAAACGGCGAGCGCGTTAAGCCCTAAACCTGTCGACGAGCGACGCCATGAGCTCGTCTACGAGGAATCTCAAGGGATCGTTAACAAATTGCTTGCTGATCCGTCAAATTGCTGTATTACCGTGGGTTGATCAAGGACAATCCGAAGATTTGATACGGTCGTCCTGGTCCATTTGGGATGCTGTTCGTCAATTGGGACAGCGGGGAGC